TGGTCAATGCTGTCCAACCCACCAAATCCTAAAGAACGCACTGATGACTAAGTGACTTTGCATTTAGAATAAAACATAGAGATGCTCACCTCTATTTTACCACAGTTTGCCTGCCTCAGACAAATTTCTTTGATGTGAGACAGAAAAAAAAGGCGAGTCAGCACAGAATCCACACCCGTGCCTTGAGCCTGTGTTTCTGCAAAAGACCACTCACCACAGGATAGATCTATTCACTCATAAAGATGATCACTCCTGTCCTTGTTGTGGCTCTCATTTATTAAGGTTTTTCCTTTAATTTGTCTCCCATGTGTAGATGCAACACAAAGGGTTACTCCTCTGTGCTACCATCAGTGTGTGTAGACCTTACTGAAGATGCTGTGTGTATTATCTGTTTTTCTCTTTCATGTTCGCCTCTATCACAGAATCAGCAGATGGAAATATTTTCTTTGTGTCTCTCTGCTTCTGTCTCGCTTGCTTTGTCCTTGGCTGTTGCAAATTAGCATCTCACCCTCGTCTTTTGCCTGTGGTGCAGGCACCATGGTGGTATATGTGTTTTCATGGCCGTATAACTCACTGAATTGTAACCTTGGGCTATGTGTGTGGCTGTATCAATACAGAAAGCCACAGTGACACCACAGAGAGACACTGGTGTATAATCGGCAGTCCTCCACCAGGACACGTCTCACAGAATTATACCCCATGGAGCACTTGGTCTTTGTCTGTCTGATGGATGAGCCAGGGCCGCGGGACAAACTGTTTAAGGGAATTGCCAAATCGGTGGCTCCTGTTTCTCCCCCCTCCCCCCAGAAAAGGGAAAAGATGAAGGAATATGGAAAATAGCAGAATATCCGTCTGCATACGTGGTGATAAATTGAGTGAATCGCCAGTGCCACACTGAGTGGGAAAACTGTTTGATGATATACACAGCCAGTGACAGGACACAGCTGTAATTCACAGGGACGTAGCAGAGCTGGCCTGCTTTCACTTACTGGTATGAAAACTAAAATTAACTTTCCTTAATTTCCCCACAGCCACGATCATCCTCCTCCTTAATGATTCATTCTGTAATCTGCAAGAAAGCATTAGTGCAGCTTGAGTTATTGTGGCCGTTTTACAGTCATGTTGGCAGTCTGGAGTACACTTTTTTTTTATTCCCATGACACAGAATGAATGCTCCGAATGATCAAAGGAAAAAAGCAACAGCCTGCATCTATTCCTCTTTATCTGAGTCTGTAAGAGCCACATTCAACGATGAGGAGTTCTCTGAGGCAGGAGCTTTCATTTCCGTCTTTTTTATTTGTCATGAAATGAACTTTTCATGCATGCTTAGAGAAGCTTTGCATTAATTCATCCAGTTATAACTTCATATTCAGCATGCAAAAATCGGAAATTGAGAACTTTAAGTCTAATTTTATTAAATCAGGTCAAAAAAAAAAAAAAACACTGCCAGTGCAGCAACTGCTTTCTAAAACTGACTCAAAGAGACCGACCTGCCTTTTCCTTTAACACTGAAACATAGAGATGCCAGGGCCGTAGCCAGGATGTTAAAAATCGAAAAACTCAGCAAGAATTTTTTGGGCCAACCATCAACCAAAGTCTGTAACTCCACAGAGTATTTAAAAACTTTTCATTCATATCTATCTGCATATTTTATCTCTGCACATAATGGTTGAGTGTGAGGTTTGTTTCTGTTGGAGAATACAACTTTTGTTATTTGAATTTAATTTGAAATTATAATTTATTATCATTTCTAGCCACATTTGCTGTTCTATTGAGCGCTATATCACAGGCAAATGGACACGTTTCACCTCTCATCCAAGAGGCTTCTTCGGTTCTAACGTACTGGTGCAGAGTCACAGGCTTTAAACCCTGTGGGTTTCTGAACCCTTACTCGAGTTTTGGAGTCGTTAAGGTCTCATGTGAGTCATTGACCCAACTGACCATTGTATGTGTCGTTAGGGTTAGATGGGTCTGAGTGTTGTCTGGGGAGGGATCCTAAGACTACATTGTAGGTGGGTGCTAAGTGGTGACAAGCCACCTCCTCTGTTTAAAGATTAATTCATTTTCCATAATAGAGGCCAGCTGACATTGGGCGAGAGGCGAGGTACACCCTGGACAGGCACCAAACTATCACAGGGCTGACACATAAGCCCTTTTTAAATAGGAATTGTGCAAATTTGCAGGAAAGCCCAATCAGTCTTCTTTCAGCATTGGCAGTATAAAAAAAAAATCGGGGAGTGCAGCAAAATGCCGCCTGCCTACTTCTGTTCATACAGAATGTGCCTTTTTCGGGGCAATGGGGGGCGTGAGCAAGTAACAAAACGTGTAGCTCAGCGTGTGATGTAAACAGTGACGTACTCCGAGGGAAGCCGCGGATTGTCAGTCCTTCAGCGATTCTCTCATAAATCGGCCCGTCCTTCACCGTTTCCCGTCATTTGACGGTTATTGGCCCCTTCGTTTGCGAGGGCAAGGAAGGCGCGCAATTCCTTGTCTCCCCAGTTGCTCATCTTTACAGTGTTTGTCAGGTTTGCATTTCCCTCTTGCTACTAGCTGCTAATTCCTGCTGCTATCAGCTGTTTCCTGTTAGTCCACCGCCAGAGGGTCACACGTGCAGCATCATCAACAGCTCCTCCCACAAGTCATCAATAGTCCCTCCCGTAGCGGGAAGGCCACCTCGGTCTTTTTAAACTCAAAGGGTTCCGCCAATACGACTACCCTACGAGGCGGAAAATTGGGCACATCAGATCAACTCGCCAATCCGGCTCTGTTTGTCTAAACGCTCGCAGCTTGCCTGCAAAACGGCCCAACATTCACGGAAAATCTGGCAGTGTAAAAGGGGCTTTAGAGACAGACAACCATTCACGCTCACGTCCACACCTACAGCCAATTTAGAGTCACCAATTAACCTGCATGTCTTTGGACTGTGGGAGGAAACCGGAGTACCCAGAGAAAACCCACGCTGACAAAGGGAAACTCTGGGTTCGAACCAGAAACCCTCTTGCTGTGAGACGACAATGCTAACCACTGCTCCACTGTACTTCCCATATAAAGATGGTCATTCTAATTTGACATAGATGGCGCCATTCACACCTCTTTCAAACCATCCGTCTCCTCTGGCCAAGATGCTGTCCTCAAAGGAACGTCCTTTCTCCTTAAGATGTAAATGGACAGCTGAGTCGTGACCTAAGAAGCCAGCTCTCCTGTGCTGTGTTGTGTGCTTGTGAAGTGGTTGATATGGCACTTAAGATTACCATGACCTGGATGACTGAGAATCTTTACTGACACATTTGCTGTTTCGCTTTTGGGATAGCAGTGACAGTCTGTCTGTCAGTCGATATATCAAGTCCAGCACTTCAGTAGAGACAGAGATATCTCGACAACTACTGCATGGGTTGCTGCAAAATTTTGTACAGATGTTTAGGATGAATCTCATGAACTTCTTTTCTACTGCCACCATGAGGCTGGTTGGTTTTTGATGAAGCATCTCAGCAACTTCTGGATGGATTGACATTTTGTATAGATCTTCATGGTACCCAGAAGGTGTATCGTAAAGACTTTGGGAATCCCCTGATTTATAATCTAGCCCCACCAGTGGGTCAAAGTTTTCCCTCATGCCTTTAAATATCTTCATCTACAAGATGGATGAGCACAAATTTTGGACATTCATAGTCCTCAGAGGATGAATCCCAGTGACTTTGTTTGATTTGCAAGCAAAATGTCTGAAGAACTATTGATGAACTGCCATGAAATTTGGTAAAGATACCCTTAGGATGAACTGTGATAGCTCTGTGGCTCCCTTAACCTTTCATCATGTGTGGTGGCGAGGAGGCCTAGAGGTGTCTGACCCTTGGGGTCAGGTTGGAAGCAAAGCATGTTTACTAAAATTGAGTAACCTTGAATGGTCTCACTCTGCGTAGACAAGTTGTGGTAAAACAACACACACATACACACATGGAAAGTCATGCATGATGTTTATCTGAGGAGGGGTATAAAAATAGTCCGTGGGCTGCTTTACAGGGCGGGTCTCATTGTTGTGGTATTTGAAGCTGTATGCTGTATTTTCAATAAAGTCCCGCAGGCTGCAGATTGATTCCGAGTCATAGAGTCTTTCTTCAACACTTGTGCCATCATCGGGTCAAAATTTTAATCGCCCAGTAAATTCACTAATAACATTCTCATCAGCCTCATCTGTAGTTTGTGTTTATTGCCAATTAGGTAAGATCGTTTCAGCACTACTTGCTGAACATTAAAACGTTGACATTGTTATTGCAAGCATGTTAGCATGTTGTTACTAGCACTTTGGTCAATGCGTCACTGTGCACAGGTAGAGCTTCAAAGAGCCCATAGATAAGAATATAGTCTACAAAAAAGATGACAGACTCAGCTGTACTTTAAGAAACATGTTGATTTCTTTTGGAAACAGGTTGAAATAATCTAACAGATTTCTTTCAGTTCAGTTATTAACAGAAATGTCTTTAAAAAAGAGGAATGTTTGCAGTGTTTTGCAGAGGCAGAATTATCCCCGGTGCCTCCTCATCCCACTCTCAAGGTAACATGAAAAACAAGGGAGAGCGCGGCAGCAGAGGGGAGAAATGACACAAAATGAAGCAACAGTGGAGGGAGACGGAGCAGACATTGTGGACAGAGATGAGGAGAATAAGATAGAGGGGGGGTGGGAAAGAAGGGACAGATAGAGAGATGATGGAGGAGGAGGGGAGATGGGGGGTGTGCTGTTAAGGAGGGGTGGAGGCTTTGTAAATCGGAGAGGCTGGAGGCGCATTTGAATTCAGGCTGTGTGTCTCCTGCGCTAGCCGAATGTTACCTGCTCTAGCATGGCAACAGAGAGAGAGGGAGAGCGGTGAGCTTCAGCTGCAGCCTCCACACAGACACACAGACACACACACGTGCATACACAGTCACAACAGGAGTGCAAAGAGTGACTCAGGTAAGCAGGAACGCTCCTGAAGAGAGAGGACTCCTGAGAGAGGGAAGCAGCGTGTTGGAGTGAGAGATACTGGAGGAGGAGCTATAGAGCTGGGAATTTTTTTTGAGGAGGAGGAGGAAGAAAAGAGGAATCGCAGGGAAACTGAAAATCTGGACTCCCAGGGTGGGCTCACGAGGGAGGGATAGACAGGGATACAGGCAAGACCGATGTGGAATGATGCGAGAGCTGTGACTGGATAAATCTGACAGACCACAGAGCACTGGGAGACACACACAGAGAGGAAAATGACATTTAGTTTTTGGAGAAAGACTATTCGGGGGGCTTAAGCTGGGGGAGGCTGGAGGGGAGGGTTTTTCGACAGGGTGAGTCGGGACAGAGAGAGGGGTGAGGTGTGGCAGTGGGAGGGTAAATAAACACAGGATGGCAGATGAACCACCTGTCCTTCTGAGATGAGGTGAGCACATACACACAAACACACACACACGCTGACACAAGAAAACATACAAACCTCTGACACGCACACTTCTCTGGACATCCACGGGACAGAGCGCAGGACTTTGAAGATGCTGTGAGACGTCTGGATCACCTGAACCCATCTGAGGACACAACTTATGAGAGGGACTGAACGCCCAGGTGATCCTCCTCCCTTGAGAGAACCTGTGGACATAAAGAGATTCTTTTTTTTTTTTTTTTAAGCGGGAACTCCCTGAAGAGGTGGCGATCAGGTGGATCACCTGTGCCATGAGGATCCTGTGTGTGAACCTGGCCTGAGACGACCCGCCCCGGAGGCTCCATCGGCCTGTCCCCCTCCTCTTCCCCCCGCAACTGGATGTCTTGATGTATTGCTGTGGGCTGGGACACTGGCGGAGAGTGCAGTCCACCTATGTAAGTGACCATCTCAGCATCACTTGCAGCACCTCATGTTTTGATCCCATAGCAACAGTGGTGTCTTATGGCAGCGAGGGGGGGGGGGATACATCTGTACAATACACGAGCTACAGCAGATTATTGCATACATACTGTATATGCGATTATAGATGTGCAGTAACTGGACACTTTTACAAAACAACGCTGATGATTCATTCACATGTTTGCCATCTGCAGTCTGTGAGCACAATAACACAAGCAGTCTGCTAGCAGCTGTGAGTGTGACTCTTACAACCTGTTATTCGCTGCTAAGGTGCTCACTTCTCAGTGCTGTCTATGTGACTTTTCAGCCGGGCTGCAGTTTATCGGGACAGGCTGCGTCATTGTCAAACAGCTCGCTGTATTGATCCCAGCACAGGACTTCATGAAAACATTACCTGAAAGCCAATAATGAGCACGGGATGGTTTCACCTCTGGTTTGTTTTCCGCCATGAGGCAACAGTTTGATTTCACCCCCAAGCGAGTGATGAGTGATTCTAAATGTATAGCAGCTGCTTAGAAGAGCAGTTCTCGTCATATTATGTGTCCTGGCTGAGCTGTCTGAAGGAGCGGAGGAGCGGGGGAGGACAGACAGGTGCAGTTATCTCATTACAGGCCAGGTTTTACTGTCCTCTCAATGACAGAGAGGAGCAGGGAGGACAGTCTCACTTCTCTCCTCCACCTGTTTCTCTTTATATATCCTTGTCTTTCCCATAACTCCCTCTTCCTCTCCTTCCTCGCCTCTCTGCCAGTGTGTTTGCTGCTTCATCACTGTTGTTGCTTTTCTCCTCATGTGTTTAACAGAGCCTCTGTAAAGTCCTGTTGCAGCTGATACTATAGAGTCTCAGAGCTGGGCATTGTGTGATGGCGCTGACTGCAGAGGACCCCCTTGCAGCCACATTCCTACATGAAATAGGCTTACTGTCAGCCCTCAACACTCAATAGGCTGTCAGCGCAAAGCCTCGCAGATTACCACATGCCGTTCTGCTGCATGCAATGTGTGCCCACCTCAGCAACAAGCCGGGGAAAGAAACTTACAGAATCAAAAGGCCACGCACGGCTAAAAGCAGTGACACATCGAGAAGTGGGATGTGGTGACAGCAGTCGGTGTTGTGTCATTGGTTTAGTGTGCCTACGACGGGTTTAGCGCAAGTAAGAACTGAGCAGATGGATGTAAATGTAAGGAGGTAAAACAAAATCTGCAAAATGTGTTGTTTAGATGCACTCAAGCCTGAAAAGATTTTGATAAATGGTAAATGTGCTTCTGCCTAATGTGGTGCAAGTACATTACTCATCCGTTATTTTCACTCCATTTACTGACCTGCGCAGTCGTCGAATATTGGCTTCTTTATCATGAAATATTCAATAGTTTTCTTTTACTGTGCTTCTTAAAATGATTCAAGTGAAACAGTCTGAGTAGGGAACATCACTCCAAAAAGGTTGGGAATCTTTGGTTTAGGATACATTTCTGATTGGCACATGACACATCCAAATTTTCTATTTCAAGTAATGTCAGTTTTGCTCAAAGCAACAATAACAACCACTGTAGTTAGATCTCAACTTTTCCAGCATAAACCTCAATCCATTTAAATTCATATACATATTTTTCTTAAGGAAACGTCCCTCCAGGTGTGGCTTTTGCTGGCAGGGAACAGAGCTGGATTACCTTAAGTGCTTGCCTGGCTCTAAGAAGCATCTGAAGACATCTTCCTGTTTTCTGCTTTAGTTGCTGCTGTTCTTACAACGTCAGTGTCCAGACGGCTCGGCCAGCAGGTGAAGGGCAGGGCTCAGTTATACCCATTATATAAATCTGCTTAAACTTTGAGAAAAAAAAAAAAGAGACATTACAGGAAAAAAAGTTGTGGCCATTTGTTCTTAAACTCACATTCGTCTCCACTGTATGTGCATCTTTACAATTTAAGCAAAACATTTGATTGTCAAGCTTGTCATTGTTTCTGTTTGGAGTACTGTGTCATTCATTCATACCATTTTTAATTAAAGGGAGCTAGGTGAGACAGTTATACTTGCACTGTGTGTTACAGCAAGGAGGGAATGTCACCTTTTATTCTTTGGGAGTTTTGGCCTAAATTGATCATGTATATATAGTCTAGGGAACCAGACAAATCTGAGAGCTCATGTTATATTTGCTCTGGCAGATGAGTCAGGTCTGGCCTGGTGCGGGTTGGGCCAATCACAACCCTTTATCTCATATGGGGCATGTTTCAGACGATGACTGACACCTTGTAGAGTCTCTGGTTTAACACAAAATACTTGTTGGTTGCATACTTGGACACTACCGTGAGCATAAACCTAGCTTAGTAAAGAGAAGCAGTGTTAAGGCATTTTCAAAAACAGCAAAGATGGTCGCAGCCGATGTGGAACTTTCTACTGTCTTCAGATTCACTCAGACATATTGATGCTTCATCATCGCAGCTCTTTGCACGCTGTAGTCTATTTACATTTGTTCCCCGTTCAGTGCTATGTTACATGTTTCATTGCTCTGATTAGTTGTGGGTCTATCCAATTGTGTCTAGAGGCATTTTGGTCTATGGCCGTTGATAACCCCCCTTGAAAATCAAAAAAGGAACTGAGAAGATCCACACCTAGTGGCTAGAAACAGCGCCAGGGTTTGATGCCAATTTGACATAGTGGCCAAACAATGGAATTACATCTTCTGAGTCAACTACATGATGCCATTGAGCCCAAAAAGACTTTTAACATAGACTTACATTGTGAAAGGGACGCCTGTGAATCAGTGAATACATTTTTTTAAGTGTCATAATCCCCGCAAAATAACAGAATTTCAGTATCTGGATTTGATCCATTTGGTCCGATAACATTTCCACAGTCTAGAAATGCCACATGATTAATCCTGATTCAAGACAGTGGAGCACTAAACCGGAAGTAGCCGCCTCAGCCAGTGGAAGTCTCTAGTGGTCTTGCTGTATGAGCCCAGCGATGCAGAAGATCGGGGGAGATTTATACTGGGAAGTTTTTTGGCTTCATTCAACTCTGAGCAGCGTTTTTAGGAATAAACTGAGCCCCGCCTCCAACGCAGTGTCCAGTTTTCTTTATACATCCATGATCCAGACTAACTTGAATTTGCAGTGTTCAAAGCAATGCTGTATTTATGAGGGTAGTAAAAAAGCAAGAGATCATTTTATTGAGGTATTCAGAATTACATGAAGTGATTTTTTTTTAAATAACTATCTTGAACCCTGCCCTAGCGTGCCTCATTCACTAGTATCTAAGTATGTCTATATTGTGTGTCATTTTACACTGGGAGGATTTCAACTCATGAGTCATGTGGCTCATGATACAGTGAAAAGAGAATTTAGAAAGAATTTGAAACAAGTCATTATTTTACTGTACATGGCACAGACAGAGTCACAGCTGCCGACCTAGATTCACCTGCTGTGAACCTGAATGTCACTTTGAGCAGGATTGTTCAGTCTGTTGTCACCTAATGTGACTGTTGGGAGAGGCCTCAAGAGTCAGGTGAACAGATAACGTCACTGATAGAAGTATCTTGTCTAATTTTTCAGTTGTGGCAGTGAGTTTCTCTTATTACCTACACGTTGACTGAGATGAGTGTTAAAATCTGATCACTGAAATATGCATTCAACTGTTCTCAGATCTATCAAGTCTTAAATCTGAAGGAGAAGATTTATGTGGAGACACTACAGCAGCGAAAAATGTTCTCAAAGCATGACCAGAATATCCTGCTGAGTTTTGATTAAGTTCCAGGAAATACACTTCACTCTGATCACCGCAGGTGCTTTTTGGACTTCTTTGGTTTTGGTACCACATTTCTGCCTCCAGTTCCATTTCATGTGCCGGATGCAGCATCTCTTGAATTTTTTATACTGCAGAGGTAGCTGTGATTCCTTTCCTCTTGTATGGCCCTCTGCTGTCAAGGTGAATCCATAAGGGCCACAGATCCATACAGTGCTAAGATGGACATTGATTATAATGCTGAATCAAAATCCCGTGGATTTGGTAAACACGCTGCAAGCTGTGGTCTGTATTGACTTGTTTCCACACTCAACACACACTGCTATTTCCTACTTCACCGGAGGCCATGAAATTGTAGATCACAGACGAGTATCTGTGTAGGACCAAAAAAGCTCTCCGGGGCTGCTCAGCATCAGCTACTTATTTATTTATTTTTATATTCTTAGAAATGCAGTTTAGAGTCGTAAAGGGGGGGGTTACATTAATTGCTTATAAAGTAAATAGTATATAAGTATATAACTGGAAGCTGTTGCAAGTCTTGAATTAAATATATCATGTCTGCTTACAAGAAGTGTTTGGGTTGTGATGTGTTTCCTGTCATTATTTAGATAAATGTAATCAATCTGCAGTTTGTTAATTGTGATATATTGAACACTTAAAGCAATAATTAAACATTTTGGGAAATTATTCTCTTTCTTTCTAAGAGAAGATCAATACCACTTTCACATCTGTGTGTACCTCAGCGATGTCAGATGTACACCATTATCATATTTGAGCAATAACTTTGCCCTCTGTACGATCAGTTATTTCAAAAAGTGCAAAACCATATGTTAATTTGACGATTTTGTGATGCTTACAATCAGTTGTTGATTTTAGTCTGTGCTGTCTCATTTTAATTAATTTCTTGGCACGATCAGAATAGCAACATATGGATTTTTTTGTCTGTGTTTAGGCATCTCTTCTCATGTGACCTCTTTTCAGCCAATTATATTTGGTGTAGACTGTGATGAATGTGGATGAATGAGCATGGCTGTTGTTGATAAATGGTAAATGGACCTGCATTTGAATAGCACCTTTTTAGTCTTCACTAGGGTTGGGTATCATTTGGGTTTTTTCTGATACCGGTGCCAAACCGATACTTTTAAAACAGTACCGGTGCTTAAATGGTGCCTGAACCGATACCTCAAAATATTATTTTTTTTTCATGGAGGTTGAAAAGTGGCACAAATGGGCCACCTTTCAGA